CAACCAGCACCCTGATCAGTCAGCAGCCATCAACACTGAGTGAGACTCCACCAGCAAAAAGATTATCACTCGCTGAAGGTTCAGATGATGGTTAGCATTGGGTTTTTTTCAATATTTTAATTAAGGTATATGCATTGTTTTTTTAGACAGAATGCTATTGCACAATTAATAGATTACAGTATAGTGTAGACATAACTTTTATGTGCACTGGGAAACTAGGAAGTTTGGGTGACGTGCTTTATTGTGATACTCTGTTGTGGTGGTTTAGAACCGCACTGACACATGCCTGTATGTGGTGTGCACTGCTTGTGGAACTGATATGAAATAGAGTGGACGGGATTGAAAGGAACTTCCCAGACCTAGCCAGGGTGTAACTGTGTAGATGTGTGTAATTCTCAGGTTTTAGAGCGGTGGGCTGCTTTTCCCCCCACCCTGCATTTTGAATCAAGACAGGGATCCAGGCCTCAATCACATGGGACAAAGAGACACTACAGGGGTTGAGAATGGATCCTGCATGGCCTTTTGTGGGGAAAAGTATTTCCCAGGCAAAGAGAAGGGACCTGCTGAGATTTCTGTGACCTCCATGACACCTGCTTACGGCACATTCGGCTTCTCCTTCCTTCTCTTACGTCCATGAGGAAATGTATTAGAAACACTTGTTAAACAGTATCGAAAACAAAGAGACATTGGGTTTCTTCTGTTTGGCCTCAGAGGACAGAGCGGGACTCAGGGGTAGACATGGCAAAAGAAGCACATTTTAGATGAAGGTCAGGGAAAGTTTTCCTAATGATGAAAGCCGTCTCCAGGTGGGTAGAGTGGAGTGGGCTGCTTTGGACCATCTCCCAGCAGAGGCTGCGTGGCCACTATGCCCTACACACTATTCTTTTATGTATCATAGCTGTACTCTGGGTGGAGTGAGGGTGGCTTGGACTGAATGACTCATGGGTAGCATCCATGGGATCCTGGGAGCAGAAAGGGGAAGGGGGAGTGGAAGTCAAGGACCTGGCTTAAGATCCTGGAGAGAGTTCACCGTGTGACCTGTGTGAGCCTTGGCTCTTTGACCTCCCAAGTGCCCATGCGAACGGAAGCTTTCTCAGGGCAGAGACTTGGGCTTGTGCCTTTGTATCCACTGGTGCGCCGTGCTGGTAAATGTGACCCCAACACTCTTAAGGTGATCTGCATCATGAAGGGCTTCTCTCTCACTTTCCTAGACAGTCAGCAGAACAACCCAAGTCCTGATGTGGGGCCTTTGCCAGTGTCTCAACTACAACCCTTAAAGTGTAACTTGGGAGCCAGCTGCAGACCACAGAGCAGAGCTCTGTGCCAAGGTGTGGGGCCTGACGCACAGTCAGGGCTTCAGAAATGCTTAATGAGTGACTGTAAACTGATGAGCCTGGGCCAGACGTCTTCTCCTTCTAAGACCTAGGACCCTGCAAATCCTTGGCAACGTGAGCGAACATTGACATTTCAATGAGGACAAAAAGCAAATGCTCCATAGTTTGCCATACAAGGCGTGGCAGAAGGCACTGAGGCTGCTTACCGGGTCAATAGATGGTTAGGAGCGGGGGGAGCCAGGACAGCAACAGCAGTCTTCAGCTCTGTGAAGCTCGTCACGTGGAAGGGATGAGGAGCAAAGGAGAGAGGTCACAGAGGGGCAGATCTTGACTTAATATAAGGAAAACCTGACAGTTGCGGGCCAACCCCCGGGTGGGAACGGCTACTTTGGAAGGCTGTGGTTGTCACAGACGTTGGTAGTGGAGAGGAAGCTGACTTTGGAGACGCAGGTTTGAATCCCGCTTCTCTCTGTTGGACAACTGACCCTCGATGAATGACTTAGCCTCTTTTAAGTCTCTTTCATCACCTGTAACATAATAGGGATGAGAATAGCCGACCTTATGTAGCATTTTAAGTTTTGTGGAGCACTTTACATCTGTTATCTGAATTGGTCTTCTCAGGAAGGTGCTATTATTATCCCCATTTTACAGATGAGGAAACAGTAGTACCGATCTCACAGGGTTGTTATTATTAAATGCAACAATATATTAAATTACCCTGAACCTTAATATGCTGTAGAATAGTTGTAATATTATAATTTTATTACTAGACATTTTCAAGTGGGACTAGATGACCCTTTGAAGATGGTGAAGAAAACCCCATATCAGGGGTCTTAACCAAGAGTCCACAAACTTAAAATAGTTTGATAATTGCATTTCCCTTGTAGCCCCATAGGTTCAGTTCTATACATTTGAATACAGTTTTCTGAGGGGTTCCATAGGCTTCTGCGTGTTCCCACGGGGGGTCCATGGCACACAAATGGAATCCCTGGCCTCAGATTTTTGATTTTGAGGACAGTGGTTCTCTTCTTTAGATATAAGGGGTTTTAATTTCTCTGTTCTGCTCTTTCATTTTTTTCCTTCTTCTAAGGTAAAATTATATTTGGATAAATTCGATGGAGTGTCCTTCCAACTGGAAGTTACAATCCAGGCAACATGCCTCTTCATCCATTTGATTCTTCTGATATGAATTGTGAGGCCAGTCAAACATTTTTGGAGCTGGGAGGGAGCCTAGAGATCACTGAGGCTGACATCCCATTTTACAAGTGAAGAAACCAAGACTTTAATAAAAATTCATTGGTATAATTTAATCTCTTTATAAATCATAATTTATAATTAAACATGATGATAAAAAGGTAATTTATAGTTGAAGTATGGGAAGATGCATAATTTTCCATTGTGATATAATTTGGATCCTTAGATTCTGCTGTCAGAAACTAATAGTAATAAGGATAATAATTTATATTTATATATTTTTAAGGTTTACATTTTTAGGTTTAAGATGTGTGTTCCTCAACCCTTCAGGGTTGGTAGTGAAAATAGTATTATCCCCGTTTTACAGATGAGAAAAGAAAGCCTAAGTGATTCAATGACTTGTTCAGTTGTCTGTCTCAAAGAGACCCAGTGCCCCCTCCACAACACCGTGTGACCTCACTGTGCCTGTGTGTATGTGTGTGTGACAGAGATGGAAATAGAGAAAGAGACAGAGGCAGAGAGAGAGAGAGAGAGAGAAGAGAGAGAGGAGAGAGAGAGAGAGAGAGGAGAGAGAGAGGGAGGGAGAGGGAGGAGGGAGAGGGAGGGAGAGGGAGAGGGAGAGGGAGAGGGAGAGGGAGAGGGAGAGGGAGAGGGAGAGAGAGAGGGAGAGAGAGAGAGAGAGAGAGAGAGAGAGAGAGAGAGGAGGAGAGAGAGAGAGAGAGAGAGAGGGAGAGAGAGAGGGAGAGAGAGGGAGAGGGAGAGAGAAAGAGAGAGAGAGGAAGAGAGAGAGAGGAAGAGAGAGAGAGGGAGAGAGAGGGAGAGAGAGAGAGAGGGAGAGAGGAAGAGAGAGAGAGGAAGAGAGAGAGAGAGAGAGAGAGAGAGAGAGAGAGAGAGAGAGAGAGAGAGAGAGAGAGAGAGAGAAAGTCCTTACGATCAGGCTTCTGACCACCTCACTCTACCAAAACCACTTTCCCCAGAGTTGCTAAGGGTCTTAGTTGCCCAGTGCAAGGACTTCTCCTCAGTCCTCATTCTCCTTGACCTCTCTGCAGCCTTGGGCACTGTCAGTCACCGTCTCCTTTTTGATCCTCTCTTCCTCCCCCCTCGTTCTCCTCACTCTGTGACCCTTCTTGACCTCCTTTTCTGGACCCTCCTCCAGATCATGGTTCCTGACCATGGGAGCCCCCCCTATCCTGGGGTCATCCGTACAACTTCCCTACGTGATCTCGTCAGCTTCTGTTACCGTCTCGATGATGATGATTCTCCAGTCTCCCTCTCCTGCCCCAAGTTCTCTGCTGACCTCCAGTCTCACGTTTTCATCTCCCTTTCAGACATCTGACTGATGTTAAGTGGCCATATTAAATTCATCCTGATCAAATTAGAACTCATGATCTTCCCTGGGAAGCCCCCTCTCTTTCCAAATTTGCCAGTTTCTACAGAGGCCGACACCACCCTCTTGTCCCTCAGTCTCTCAACCCAATATTTCTCTTCTCTCCCCACCCTCCCCCAATCCAATATGGTGCCAAAGCCTTTCCAACATCTCTCGTCCTGTACTCCTCCTCTCCTCTGACACTGCCACCCACCCTGTTACAGACCATCATGCCCTCCCACCTGGACCACTGCAGTAGCTGCTGGGGGGTCGCCTGCCTCAGTCTCTCCCTGCTCCAGTCCATCCAGTGATTTTCCTAAAGGGCAGGTTTGATCCTGTCACCCTCCTTGCTCAGTAAGCTGCAGTGACCCCCGACTTCTCTAGGTTCAAATACAGAATGTTCTGTCTGGCTTTTAAAGCCCTCCTAACCCAGCCCCCTCCTATCTGCCTGGTCTTTTCACACCTGGTGCGTTCCTTCATTTAATTTGTTACAGATTCATTCTGTCTGTGGCTTGGTCTCGTGTATGTTTGCTTGTTATTCCCCTCGTTAGACTGTGAGCTCCTAGAAGGCAGGGACATGCCTGGCACAGAAATCTTTATTGAATAATTGTTGACTGAGAGGGCAGGAGAGAGAAAGAGAGACAGGGACAGAGAGAGAAAAAGAGAGATAGAGATAGAGAGAGAAAGAGAGAGACACAGAGAGACAGAGAAAGAGACAGAGAAAAAGAGAAAGAGACAGAGAGAGAAAAAGAGAGACAGAGATAGAGAAGAGAGAAAAAGAGAGAGATACAGAGAGACAGACAGACAGAAGCATACCTTCAGAGCAGGGGTTCGCACCCTGTTGGTGCTATGGACTCTGGCATAGCTCTAGAGTTGGCATGGACCTAAGAGTCTGTCCAGTCCACCACTATCAGTGGACAGAGGAGGACAGAGCCCCTGGGGAGGTCAGTGACTCACTGTAGGTAACACCCACAGGAAGCAAACATCAGAGTGGAATCTGGGCTCAGATCTTCTGACAAAAAGTATCTGATACTGACACTCCATTATTTCATTCATTCAACAGGCATTTATTAAGCACCTTCTGTGTTCAAAACACTTAAAGAAAATATGTGAATTATCAAACAAAATATTCATTGAAGTAAAAATATGAAGTTAATACAGTAGTTTATTAACTTCTGAACCACACAAAGGGTGATCATCCTTAAGGAATTAGGGATAAAGAAGTGTATTAGCTTTCTAAATTCAGGTAGTTCTGTAGACGAACAGGAATTAGAAGTGAAAATATTCCATCGGGGAGCATATTGTTGGCAAGAAGCTGAGCTCTGATCGTTAGTCTACAAAGATGTAAGAGTTCACATGGATCTTTGTATCTTGCTGAAGGAATGTAGTCTAACCAATTGGAAACAATTGGCCGCCTTCCCAAGCTCAGCTGTGCCTGGGAAGAAGAGAAAAAGGATTTTATTTTAAACATTTAGATTATTCTTTATCACTAACAATACAGTTGGGTCAGAACTATTGGTATGTACATAATTCTAGTTCAAATGCAGTAAAAAATACCAGCTTACATTTCTCCAAGATTCTTAAATTTATCAAAATGCTTTCATATCTTTTATTTAAATCTGAGCAGGTATTTTAAATTCCTGTTTTGCAGATGAAAAAACCAAGGCACTAGAAATTAAAGTGTTTACTCTTGTTCACACAGCAAGTGAATTAATTATAATTCCAGAACCCCAAATCAGAGTAGCCACTCCTTTTAAAAGATGTAATTCTGGGAATAATTTTGTTAGGGAGATCCTAAAAATAAATTTGCTAGGGATACTCGACAAATAGAAATTTGATTAGATGTTGACTGTTCTGAGTGGTAAATTGAAAGGGTGATCTTGTACAGATATAAACCAAATAAATTTATATAGTCATTTAAAAAGGCCAGAATGCTCCCTATTCAAGGGCTTTCTTTCACTTCCTTTTTCTTCTTTATGGCTCAAATTAGGTATAGTAAGCAACCCTAAAGTACAGTGAGTAATGCAGTCGAGATGGGCAGAGGACCAAAGTTATATAGGTTTATTGAGAATTGAATGCAACAAATTATACATGTTGCAGAGTCTTGAGAAGTGATTATTTATTCAAAAATACATATGTGTGCATATAGGAATAGGGTTGAGTCTTGGGATTCATTTGTATAGGGAACTTCCAGGTCAGGACACTCCCTCTACCAACATGGGCTGGTACTTCCTGTGCACCTTACAGCCGTGTGGTCTTGGGGGCACCAAAAGCTTCCTCTCTCAGCTCTTCCCCTCATAGAGCTAGGCTGGAAGGGATCTTGGGAGCCTCTCAGTCCAACCCTTTCACCTTACAGAAGAGCAGACTGAAACACAGGCAAGTTAAAAGACTTGCCTGGACCATGCACACCTACTAAGTGTCTGAGGGTGGGATGTGAACCGATGTCTTCCTGACTCCCAAGGCCAGTGGCCCCTTCACTCCACCATGCTCCCTCGCTCTATGGGGTTGGGGGGGGTGTGTGTGACAGACAGACAGACAGAGACCTTCAGAGCAAGAGTCCTTAGCCCTTGTCTGTGTGTAATGGGCCACTTCGGCAGTCTGGGGAAGCCCATGATTCCCTTCTCAGAATCATCTTTGTTAATGCAGAAGAACAAAGTATGTAGAAGCACAAAGGAAACAAAATATATTGAAATAAAGATGTAATTTTCACCCATCCACATCCGTGGAATTTCTGGAATCCGTCCATGGATCCCTTTGAGCCTGTGGACTCCAGGTTAAGATTCCAGCTTGGGAGGGAGCTGGCAGTCTCCTGCATGTTGGTGATTTGTGTAGGGTGAATTTGGAGCTGTCCCAATAACTCAGTTTTCTCAAGCTGATGGTTGCTGCCAGTTGGTACGATGCAGCTGTTTGGCACAGAAACTTGCTGTTATGTTGAAAATGGTGGACATTGCCCAAGCTGCCTAACATAAGCTGCAGTTTATCCAAACTTAGTTTAATTCACAGAAACACGTAGGGCAAAATGGTATTTTAGCTTCGTGTTTTCTAGATCTCTAGAGTACAGAGACAGTCAATTTAACAAATAGTTTATTCAGAACTTGTCTTTTAAAGTACTTTGGGATTATAAGATAAAGAAGCTTATTCATGGTTTTACTACTATATTGTCCAAATATAAACTTTGCTTTCTTTCCCCAGATCAGGCTTATAGAAATCCCAAGTGAATCTTGTAATCAGTGCCCTTTTCCAGTATGTGCACACACAGAGAGATACGTGATATATATACTAGTTGTATATATACACATAGAAATGTGTGTGTGTGTGTATATGTATATATACATACACGTGCGTGCACACACACACATATATAATACAAATACACATGAGGAGGGATGCAGAGCTAGCAAACTGGTTACCAGATTCACTCAGGGCTTATACAAACCAGATTTGGGAAAAGAAGTTTTGGTGTATAGTTATACAATGCAGCAAAATAATCCCTATCTATAGCTAGTCCTACGTGGGTGTTTCCTTTCATAGGAATCTAGTCTTGGGGCAGGTAGTGGTGATGGTCTACAATCAGATCAGTAGGGTGTGTCACAGAGTACTCCCGTAGCTCCCTTAGTGAAAGTTGCTAAGCGTAGAGTAAGGGTATTAGTTCATTTGTATTCTTTTGGTTCAGATCAGACATTCAACAATTCACGTAATTGTGAATGATTTTGTTTTGCTCGTGCTTACTTTGAACATACTTGTTAGATGTCTGTACTCTCACAATATGTGATCTATAACGCTGATGTACACCTACTTGGTCGCTTTGAAAAGGGCACAGTAGATTTTGATTTGCACATTATCATCCACAAGGTAAAAGAAAATGAGGCCCTGTGCTAGTTCTTAGCTTAGATGGCATCCTTTTATTTGCTATTTGTTTAATGAGCGTGCTTATGCTCTTGCAGTTAACTTGCTTCTGGCTTAAAGTGAGAGAGTCTGACCATTCCCTCCTTCCCACTATCTCCGCTGCCAGCGTGAGCTGTGCACGCTCAGTGTTTCACGTACCTCAATTTCCCGGACTGGAATGACAGGAAGCACTCTGGAACACAGCACTAGGCACGTTTTGGCGTCTTCCCGGATGTCGACCAGTTCGTGATCGACCATTATCCTCACTCTGGAAGGGTACAGCAGGATGGTGAGCACGATGTTGACGGGCTTTCTGTCTCTCTCGAGGATTCCATATTGTAGGAGTATTTTCAAGATGTTGGACTGCCTGGTCTGAGCTACGTACAGCAGAGGCGTGATGCCACTCAGTGGGCTTGGGCAGTACACGGGGGTGAACGTTCTGCAGAGAGAAAGGCAGAGTCCGCTGGCTTTAGAAGCTTGGCTCTAGAAATACTCCTAAAAGTGTTAGACGCGAGTAGAAGTAGGGGAAGAGCCGGGCTCGCTCTTCAGGATTTCTGTCTGCCCGACTCCTTGTCCTTGTGCGGGCTGGAGACCGTCTGGCCACGGTGCTTTGGCTGCATTGATGGAGGCTCATTACGGCTGTGGAATTAGGGAGAAAAAGTATGCGGGAGCCAAGGAAGGGTCTGGTTCACTTCACTGGGCAGTACCAGAAGAATGCAGGCTACCTGAGGGCGAGTGTCTGTATCTCTGTCTGTGCCCCAGAACCTAGCCCATGACTTTGCACGGGGTATTTAGGTAGATGCTTAATACCTGTCTGTTCTTGTGGTTGTCAATGGCGTTTGTTACCACTGCAGCAATTTTTTAGCCTTTCCTTGCCATGTGGGCTATCTCACGGGAAGTGTTCTACTTCATTAATTGATGAGACTAAATGGAACATAACCAAAGAACAAACACTTAAAAGTATAGACTGAGATAGTAAAAATAATTGTATGTAAAGAATATACATTACTCCTAATAATGCCAAATTTTCCAACTGAAAAACCCACATTGTTGGGAAACCAGGTTCTGGAACTGATAGGAGAAGAAGGTGGTGAGGAGTAGAGGGCTTGGTGGCTTATTGGTTGAATTGATTTTGCTTTAACAAAATGTGTATGTCACTTTTTATTAAACGGCCACTAGGATGTCCATGGCTTTTTCTAGTTCCCCAGATTGATCTGTCTGTCTGTCTGTCTGTTGGTGTCTCTGCCTGCTTATCTCACTGTCTCTGCATCTCTGTCTTCCTATGTCTAGCCATGTCTGCCTATGCTTATCTGTGTTGATCCACCCATGTTTAATTATGTCTATCTTTGTCTATATCTAGGTGTCTGTCTATCTGTGCCTATCTGTCTCATCTGTGTCTTTATCTTTCTGTCTTTGTCTGTTCCTGTCTAGCTGTGTTTATCTCTGTCTAGCTCTCTGTCTCTGTCTGTCCGCCTACATCTATAGCTATCTGCCTGTCTATCTACATCTGTCTCTCATGCTGTCTGCCATCTACCTTATCTATTGACTCTGTCTCTCTAAGCTGTCATTACAGGCTTCGTCCATGGGTAGAGATCAGCTCTTCTCCTGTGGTTAATGCTGGAGAAGCTTGGCCAGGAGCATAGAGGGGTTACATGATTTGCTGTTGGTCACCACCCCCTACCCCCATAGGTGTCTGAGGCAGCTCCTCCTGCACGCTCTGCTATGCTGCTGCTCTTTCTCTGGCCATTCACTAGACTTCATCTTTGATTGGAGGTCAGTGATTCACTGTAGTAAGAATAAAGGTTGAAGCCACTTTATTCCCAGGTGTTTGGGCAAAATGGAAGTAGTTTTGATAGGTTCAAGAAATATCCAGCATAACAAGGCTGGGTTCAGCTCCCTCAAGGGAGAAGCTGTTTCCCTCCTCCCAGGGAGTTTTGTCTTCTCAGAATCATTGGTTCAGAGTTTCTTCTGGACTCTCTCGGTGGTGGCAGGGTGTCCTTGGCAAAGAGGAGAACTTGTCATTTCCCGCCCCCCAGTGCCCTGTGCGGCGGGTCAGTGTGCATAATGGGGAGAGAGCCAGCCTCAAAGGCAGGAAGGCCGGGGTTCAAGGTCCATCTCTGACCAAGTCTGGCTGGATGAGCCAGAGCTCCAGGGAGTTCCCCTAGCTAGGACATGTGGCTGCAGGTGAACTGTCCGCCCACCAGAGGATCTGATGCAATGTTTAGGATGGGCTGCAGTGTGTGCCACTTAGAGTGAGGCCGCTGCCAATATGAGCCGGCCCGAGCATACCCCAGCCAGGAAGTGGCCTGGCTGGTACTTGAACCAGGACTAGTGACTCCAAATCCATCTGTCTTCCCACATCCAGCGTTTCATCCCATCAAGGAATGAAGGCAGATTTTCTTTACGGTCTTCATCCATGGAGTTTCCTTGTTTGGACTAAGGAAATGAAGCCGAGTCAGTTTGCCTAGAGCCGCTGATGATTTGCTGGATTGGAAGACTCGCCTTCCAGGGAAGGGGAGCCTTGTTCAGGTAGGAGACATGAAGGTTGACCTTGGTGTCCTGTGGTGTTAGGCTGGAGAGGAGCTGGATGGTGAGAAGGGCACTGAGCTCCTCAGCCACAGTCACCCTTTGTCCCCAATAAATAAATCCCTGGAGCGAGTTGCGACCTGCCTGCCTGTGTTCCTGCATCAGCCTCTGGAGGAAGGGTTGGGAGGGAATCTTGCACTCTGGGTCTTCGAGGCTCTCTTCCCACCTGTCTGACCGGTCTTTCTGTCATTTCCATCTTCTCCCTGGGTCTTCTACCCCATTCTCTCTAAGCTCTCTCCTAGTTGGTAGAACCATCTCCATGAAAATGACCCGTAACTCTAGGCATAGTCTTTGTCCTGAACTTTAGTCTTGAACCAGCCACTGACTCTTCCCTGTACTTTCTGGTGACCTCAAATGATCGTCTCTCTGAAGAGATCTCCCCAATCTAAACACCAGCCTGCATGTCCTTCCTGACCTTCATGGGACAGCATGTACTGCATGCCCCGTAGGCATCCCTTATTCAGAACAATCCCTGACCTTTCTCTCTAGACGAGCCCTCTTCACTTTCCTGCTTCATTAACTTCCCCCTATCCTTCTAGTCATGCCCTGTAGACAGCTTTGGGGTCCTCCTCCATTCCTCATCCCTTGACCCCACAGGGCAGGAAACTGCCAAGTCTTGTCGACTCTGCCCACTGAGCACCCCTGTCATGCAGGGCCGGCCCACAGACCGTGACAACAGCCTGCAGTTTGGTCTCCCCACCTGAAGATTCACTGTTGTCCTTCCAGCCCCCACACAAGTGACTGCCAGACCGACATTTCTCAAGCACAGGCCTGACCATGTCACCACCCTTCCCAAGAAGCCCCTTTGGCTTCTGTTTCTGCCTGGAAAGATACAGACTCCTCTGTTTCACTGTCAGGGCCCTGAATAATCTTACTTCAGCCTCTCTTTGTCTCAAACTCCCTAGGATGCAGCCTAGTCAGTGTGTCTGCTATTCCTGAACACAACACCCATTTCCTGCCTCTTCCTTTGCATGGGCAGTGCCCCCTCTGCAAGTGATTTCTGCCATCATTCACCCCCCACCCCAATCACCTTCTGTTTACCTGCATAAATTCTGTATTCACTTCGCCTCTGGGGGGCCAGGACTGGCCTGCTCCTGGGACCTGGCACAGTGGTGCTCAGTAGATGCTTAGCCGAAACCCTTTTGGAATGATTGATTATGTGTGTGTGTGTGTGTGTGTATCTTCGTGTGTGTATATGTACGTGTATATGTGTGTGTATGCATGTGTATGTGTAGGTGTTTTTTACTTATTTGCCTACATGTGGTTTTCCCTCAAGTGGAATGAGCCTTTTCCCACCTCCTCTGGCACCCAGTGCCCTCCCTGCCTGTGAGCACACTTGTTGCCCCAGAGAGATTGGAAGCAGCCTGAGGGTAAAGACTCTGTCTTTTTGTCTAGCACAGTCCCTGACACATGGTAGGTACCTGACAAATGCTTGTGGTATTAAATTGAATAGGATCTTCTTACAAAACAATGGTCCTATGTTTATGCTGTGGAAGCAGATTGAATCTTCCTTTTCAGTTTCCCAAGAAACATTGGAGAATACCCTTGCAGTCTGAAAGCCTGGACTGATGCTGTTCTTGGGAGAAAGGCATAGGGTAGAGACCCGGAATCCCTCAGCAGGAGCGGGCAGGACAGCACTCCGCACTGCTTTGTTCCTGACTCGTCTGGAAGCTTTTCTTCCCTCCGGGAGGGTGTTGGATCATGAACCCAGCGGATTTCTGATAATTGACTCAACAGCATTTGAGAAGTGACCGCCACGTGCTCGCCCCTTTGGAGCTTACAGCCTATGGGAGGGAAATAACTGTGTTTTTGTCCTCGTCCTTCAGTCACCACGGACTCTCTGTGACCCCACTCGGGGTTCTCTTGGCAGAGAGGCTGGAATGCTTTGCCATTTCTTTCTCCAGCTTATTTTATGGATGAGGACACTGAGGCAAACAGGGTGAAGTGACTGCCCAGTTACACAGCTAGGAAGTGTCTGGGGCTGGATTTGAACTCAGGTCTTCCTGACTTGAGACCCGGCACTCTGTTCAATCACCATCTTAGATGCCCAATAACATGCACACGGATGGGAAAATACAAGACAGACAAGGTTAATGGCAAAGAAGGAACTGAGGAACATCTAGGGAAACAAAGAAGGGGCTTGGGGTGAGCCTTGGAGGAAGCTGAGACGTCCAGATTAGTTCTGGGGCTGAGGACGGGAGTGTCCTGGCCAGAGGAGCAGCACTGTGGGAGGCTGACCGCGGGCGGCTAGGCCGCCTGAGCCCTCGCGCTGGGCAGCAGGGCCCCTGCAGCATCCTTCCACATGCTCTGGGGCAGTCAAAGGGAAGAGAGGAGGGAAGCACCCCGACTCCCGCAGCCCCGCAGCCATGGGGGGAGTTGGGATGCTCGGGTTTTCAGGTACGAAGGAGCAGCTCATTGAGCTGCCCTTCCTCCGCTCGCCTCCCCATTGCGCCACGTCCCAAGAGATTGGGGTAACTGTCGTGCAAGTAAGCAAGTTTTGATTTACCCTAATGTGCTTTTTCAAATATGAGGATTAATCAAATGCCACTTTGGTGCAGGTTACCCTTTTAAAACTCATGTTAGACCCTAGTTTTAGCTTGGTTTCAGTGGTTTTTCTTTATAGTGACTTCTAAGTTAGCTTTAAGGCCGGGACAGCACGACAGGTTGACATTCTAACGGTGCATGCGGGTCGTCCAATCTGTCAAAACCCTGAATATTACTGTAAGCAAAATATCCTCACCACCAAGACCTTCATTCTTTTCCTTGTAAAACGTCATAATGCTTTCTTAAGAGCTAGTAAAATGACTGATATTAATCTTGGGGAAAGTTGCCCATCACACGCCTATGTTGATAGTAAAATTGTAGAAAATTGGTGCTAAGGAAAAAAATGATGAATACTGTACATTCTAGGCACAAATCTGCCAGAAATAATTTTATTTCACTGAACATTAAGCTAACATCCAAGCCTTTTCTAGCAGAGAGAAGGGAGGGGGGAGAAAGAAAGAGAGGGGAGTGCAGTGTGGGGAAAGGGAAAGAGAAGCCGATGCTCCCCAGGCCCTCATATGTGCCTCCGCCCCTCCATGATCAGAGGCCATAGTTAGAGGGCCTTGGAATGTAAAGTACAGTTTGGGGTTGACATTGCACAAGAGGCAGTATTCGGGGCCTTCCTTCACCCCTCTCTGCAAACTCCCAAGCATGTGCTAAATGTCGCTTAACACTAGCAGCAGCATTTGTATTGTTACAGACTGGGGCAGAGAGTTCCACGGAGGCCATCCCTCCCTCTCTCCTTCCCTCCCTTCCTCCCTTCTCTCCCTCCTTCCTTCCTTCCCTCCCTCCCTCCTTCCTTCCTTCCTTCTTCCTTCCTTCCTTCCCTCCCTCTTTCCTTTCCTCCCTCCCTCCTTCTTTACTTCTTTCTTGCCTTCCTTCCTTCCTTCCTTCCCTTCCTTCCCTTTCTCCCTCCCTCTTTCCTTCCATCCTTCCTTCCTTGCTCTTGAAGGAATCTTCTTTGTTTCATAGGCATCCCTCATTCATGATCGTTGTATACACCATGACTTTGCTAACTTTCTTCAAGGTGCAAGGTCCCTAGAAATTTGGGAGGGCTTCAAGTCACTAACTCATACCTGTCAGGAAACCACTGAGTTTGGTAAACATAAATTGTTGATTGTTATATTCCAGTAGACGAGATAAGCTCGTCTGGGGCTAATGCGGTTCTCTGTATGCCCAGTGCCTGGCAATAGTACCTGTTATGTAGTAGGTGCTTTATAAATGGTAGCCTAATGGATTTGAATTGGATGTTAGTGCTTAATCCTTTTCATTTTTTAAATCCTATGAAAAATAAATTTATATGGACGAGCATACACAGAAAATATCCAGTTTCAAAAAGCTGAGATCATAGTACTCAAGAAAAGCATGACTTTCTGTGTCTAAATTTCAGAGGTCTTTAATGGTTGCAGTCTGATTGCAGACAATAAATGCACAACTGTATACAACCTAGACGCCTCCTCCTACATGAAGCCTTCCCTGATTTCTTCAATACCTCATACTTATTTTGTTTACCATCCTATGGTTACATACATGTTGTCTCCCCCAATAGAATATAAGCCCTTTGAGGGTGGAGACATTTATTTTGGTCTTTGCCTCCCCAGCATCTAGCACAGGACCTGGCACATGGAGGTACCTGTTCAGTACCCACTTTTTGATTGATTACTCGACTGATATGGGACAGAACCTGTAGCTTTTCCATGAAAAGCGCTTGCCATGGGGAGAGGGGAAGCCTCCCTTCGCAGGGGCGTGCCTGGGCTCAGTCGTGGGAGAGTTTACATTTCCTGGGGAGGAATCATCCTTAACGGTAATGGGTGGGGGCTGGTTACCTCCAGATGAGAGCCAGGCTGCAGCTTCTGTCTTGCACGTAGTCCTTGGTCTTCTTGAGAAGCAGCTCCACAAAGTCAGGGTTACCTTTTCTTGCAAAGACCCAGTACAGAATAGTGTTCACACAAATTTCGGTAAACTCAAGATTAAAATTCAGCTCAAACGATATCCTGACTTCTCCACAAATGTGATATAGTCTGTGAGCAGCAAATCGAACCCTTCCAGGTCGACATACCTCAGGATCTTCGCCAGCGTCCTGTAAATCCTGGGCTCGTAGCAGTGGTAGCCCCACTGACCCAAGAACTGCAAGGAGGGTCTTTTCACTATCCGGTCTATGAGGTTGCAGAATATATTGCTTCTTGGACAAGAAGTCTTACGACATAACTTAGAAGATTTACTCATTGCTACTTAAAAGGCAGCGATGCAGGACTCAAATCACAGGAGGTCATATTGTAATCCTTCCATCACATGTTTCGATAGTGTGGCAGGCTTCGTGCCACAAATCTGAAATGCCAGGGCTGGTGGCAGCAAGTGAGGCGGCCTGGGATGGGGCCATGCAGGGCAGGCTGACATCACAATGGGGGAAATTGACATCAGCACAGGGGAAAATTTGGGATATTGTTATGTGTCCTAGTGACACATTTAGGAGAGAAGAGCAGGGAAGTGAATCCAGTGCATGAAACCTAAGTCTGATGATTGTAACAGGAGTGTGTCTAAGTCACATATTTACTAAGGTCTAAAAGGACACATTTAAAACAAAAGAAAGGATTCACAACATTTTTCACTAAGGACCTTGAATTTGAGCACTGGAGCAGTGGTTGCTTATGATTTCAAGGGTAGAAATAGAAAATACCAGGTTATGGTTTTTTTTTGCTTTCACATCTTTGCCTTTTTCCAGAAACGGGTCCACAGAGGGGCAAAACTGCTCCTCCCTGCTCTCCCCCTCCCTCCTTCCTTTCTCTCTCCCTCCTTCCTTTCCTCCCTCTTCTTCCATCTGTCTCTCCCTCCTTTTGTCTCTCCCCATCTCTACCTCCCTTTCCCCCCTCCCTCCCTTTCTCTCCTTCCATCTCTCCTTTCTTCCCTCCTCTCCCTCCCTCTTTCTTGCTTCTCCTTCTCTTCCGGTATAGAATTATATTCAGAAATACTGCAGTGAATTGAATTTGAATCTGTATTAGATTTCTTAGGAGCTTGAACGTCAGTTTGGACTTGGAGTGTGGAGACCTGGGTTCAAATCCTGCCTCTGACATTTTACCGTCTGTGGCCAAGTCACCTTCAGTGTTCTTATCTGTAAAATGGGAATAGTAATTTTTGCCCTACCTTGCTTATTGGAGGAAGGTACTTTATAAACCTTAAAAAGCTTCACCGCCATAAGCAGTTATTATGGTGTATGGTAATTTCTCTGTGATTGTGTTTGCTCCATTATTAGGTAGAGGACACATAGTTGGGGGATTTTGTGTTCTTCAGCTTTGCTACTCAAGACAGGGTTAATGGCAGAATAACAAGTAGTATACCCAAGGCCGTTAGAAGACCTGGATCTGTGCGTGCAGACACTTCCACTTCCACAAGCCAAGTAATGGTGGGTGTCGTTTCCCCTTTTCTAACCCAGTTTCCCCATCTGAAAAATGGATAGCATTAATGCCTGCCCTGCCTACTTGGCAGGGTTATGGGCAAGGACAGACTGTCCGGTCTATGTAGGTCAGCTGGGATTGCCCTAGAAAGCAGAAGAAGCAGGCAGCCTTGGAGCATTCATTGGGTTCAGTCTGTGGTCTAACCCCTGCCTACTTTTGTTTGTCCAAGTTATCCAGTGCTCACAACATTGTAGATGGCAACTTTAGGACATTCCATAGGCTTTGGACAACTTGGAATAGTTTTCTTTTCCTGTCACTTAGAGAAAATGTCAGGTGAATGTGGTTCCACTTTCCCACACTAATGACGGACCGTAGCTTAGAGTTGACATTCATTTTTTCAGCCACTCCATGGATCCGTGTTAGTTTCTGATAAACATAGCCAGGTCCCAAGTAGTGACAACAAGGAGTTCCCTGAAGTGATCACATTGTTTAAACTCATACTGAACCACTATTTCATATAATGATAACTTTAACTCAGATGCATTTCAATAAATGTGACTTCAGGGGATCCATTATTTGTCCTCATTGGAACTTACTGGAGAGAAAATCCTTTCCTCCTTTTCTCTTCTTCCTTTTTCCCTGCAAAGGTGACATACACCCTTTGACCCAGCAATAGCACTTCTAGGGCTGTATCCCAGAGAGATCATACAAATGGGAAAAGGACTCACATATGCAAAAATATTTATAGCAGCTCTTTTTGTGGTGGCAAAGAATTGAAAATTGAGAGGACACCCATCAACTGGGGAATGGCTGAACAAGTTGTGGTATATGAATGTAATGGAATAGTACTGTGCTATAAGAAATGACGAGCAGGTAGACTTCAGAAAAACCTGGAAAAGACTTGTATGGTCTGATGCTGAGTGAAGTGAGCAGAACCAGGAGAACATTGTACATAAGAACAGCCATGTTGTGCTATGACTGATATTGATAGACTTAAACCTTCTCAGCAATACAAGGATCTAAGACATCTCCAAAGGCCTCATGAAGGAAAATGCTGTCCACAAAGAAGAAAGAACTATGGGGTTTAAATGCATATCGAAGCATAGTATTTGCTATTTTTTTCTTCTATTGTGTTTTGTTTCCTCTTTCTGGTGGTCCCTCCTATTGACTCTAATTCTTACTTACAGCATCACTAATGTGAAAATATGTTTAATAGGAATGTATATGTAGAGCCTATATCAGATTACGTGCCATGTTGGGGAGGGAGATGGGGAGGGAAGGGGAGAAAAATTTAAAACTCAAAAGCTTATGGAGGTGATTGTTGGTAATTCAAAATAAATTAATTTAAAAAAAGGTAACATAGAGATAATACATAACTAGCTCCGGGATCAGATCCTCGAAAGAGCTAAGTGGGTGCAAAATAGTGTTTATTGTGTTGTTTGGAGAATGTTTTCAATCTCATGCTGTGTTTACATGGCGTCGTTAAACAGAGCCTTGGGATCTTTGCAGGGGATCCTGCCAAGATGCTCCCTGTCTGCAGCTGTTTGTTGAATCACAATCAGAGCTGCAGGAAGATAGAAGCGCACAGTGGGTTTCAGAAAGAATTCAGTGTTGATCCTTCCGTGTACCTAGAGATGATGGATTGTCACTGCCCATTCTGGGATGGGCGGGGAAAAGAGAAAGAGCTTGGCAGGTGAATTCATCTGTAAGATGATCTTAGACTCGCCATTTCGAAATAATTGTCAGCAGCATGTGCCATCCTCTGTAGCTTCTGATTCACATGTTCATTTGAACCCCCACAAAGAAGTAATTAGATATTTAATAGGACTGCAAATATATTCAATAGCTTTATGAAAATACCCGAAACTACTAAAGGACCTTGATAATTCATGCTAATGATGGAGATACCCATGGTTCATTACAGAATTTTATAAACTAACAAGTAAGCAAATAAGAAAGCATCAGAAGCCAATTAAAAACCATATTATCAAATGAATTTTCTCCATTTGTTTTGACAAGTGTAATTTCAATTTAATTCATTTTGATAATCCCTCCTAGTGTCCTGACAAAAGTACCATGATGCATTATGCATAAGAAATAAGGTCTTAATAATGAGGACTAGACACAGAACTCCTCTGCAGAAAAGTGAGAGATGCAGGAACCGGATAAGAGCTCAGCAACCAAGGAGGGGAAACTTCAAGCACCACCATGCTTCTTCCGCCCAGCGCCGGAGAACCTGCGCTTGTGGTGCTAACTTGTGGGCAAGGCCTAATGGCCCCTTTCCAGAATGGTAGGTTTGAGTGCATGAAATACACAGGGCACAAAGGAGACCAGTTATGCTGGAATGCAGTTATCAATACTTTCCCCAAACGTTCAGGGACCTCGAATTAAGAAGCCTGGAGCTAGGTCAACACAACATATGTCACCTGCAACTAAGTGAGGCACCTCACAGGGGAGCGTGAAATGAAGAGACGTGGGCCAGGCAGGTCAGTGAAGACTGAGCCATTTATTAATCTGAGGGTCCAGTTTAAATAGTAAAAGCTAACAATCACCCCCAAGGCGTTTGCACGAGTCTTACTTGACTAACCCCAGCCCTAATGCTTGCTATCAAGGTTCAAGGATCTGTCAGAGTGTTCTAACACCTCCCTAACCTTGATGAAGTGCAGTCAAGTGCCCCTGGGATTCCAAGATAAACAAGGGCGTGGTCTCCTCCCTTAATGAGCTTAGGAGCTGATTGGAGGGAAGTGCATAGAAGAAGCTCATGAGGGCTCTCCTGTCTGCTTGTTCCTTTAACGTTTCCCTCACTGGCCTCACAGGGCGTCAGCATCGCAGGTTCACCTAGGGACCCTCAGCTCTGACCGCTTCTGTCTTTGTAATTGTGATGGAGGAGGAAGGCTGGGCGCGGTCTGACATCCATCCTCGGTTTGGGGAGAGCAGATTTCAGATAGTCTGTGAGAGGTTAAATTTCTGCAGAGGAAGTCAGCCCATGGGAAGGGGGAGGCTCTCAAAAGCGAAAATTTAAAAACTCGAAGAGAAAAAGGTGTCTTACAGGAAGACAATGGGGAGTATATTTAGTTTTTAATTTAATATTCTATTTTAAGTTCTGAACTGTGTCCCTCCCTCCCCACCCCATACTAGAGAAGGCCACCATTCAGGGTGGGTGTGTGTGCATGTGTGTGTGTGTGTGTGTGTGTGTGTGTGTGTGTGTGTGTGTGTGTAAAACCATATATGCATACTTCTGCTCATCAGTTCTTTCTCTGGAGGTGGATAGCATCTTCCTTTATAGGTCTTTGGTGGTTGATTTGAGTACTTACAATGCTCAGAATAACTTAGTTGTTCACAGTTGTTCTTAGAACTGCATTGCTGTTACTGGGGGAGCTGGGTTTTTGTTTTTGTTTTGACTAGGCAATGAGGTTAAGTGACTTGCCCAGGGTCACTCAGCTAGTAAGTGTCAAGTGTCTGAAAGTGGATTTGAACTCAGGTCCTCCTGACTCCAGAGCCAGTGCTCCATCCATCGCACCACCTAGCTGGCCCTGGGGGGGCTATTTAAAGAGACCACTGTGGCAGTGAACTCAGCCTGCAGCTTCGGTGAGAGTAAGTCTCTTTAAGTGTTCTAAGCTATGTTGCAAGACTTCTTATCCAGAATATGCAGTCACAGAAGTAGAGAACTGCAAGGACGCTCAGAGCTCATCTAGTCCAACCCCCAAACAAAGGGTCTCGTTCATGGCCTTCACCAGGTGGCGTCCCAGATGTTTGAAGGCCTCCAAGGGGGACATCCCATGGCTCTTTGGGATTTTCCTCATGTCCACCCTGCTGATTTCCTTACAGCTGCCACCCAGAGCTTGTGGTTCAAATCCCAACAGAACAAGTCTACTCCTTCTCCACGTGACAGTCCTCGTCTTCTCCAGCCAGACGTGCCTAGGTCCGTGCACCGTCCCATGTCACGCCCTTCCAGCCCTTCACCATGCTGGCTGCCTGCCTCTAGACACTTCTTGGCTTTGAACCATGACACCCAGAATTGAGGTCCAGTGAGGGGAGGGCATGGTGGGACCGCCGCCTTGTAGCTCTCCCCCACCACAAGTAGCCTAAGACTACATAAGCTAACTCCATCTAGATTTTGCAGTTGTGTCTGACTCTGTGTGACCCCTTTTGGGGTTTTCTTGGCAGAGATACTGGAGTAGTTTGCCATTTCTTTCTCCAGCTCATTTTGCAGATGAGGAAACTGAGGCAAACAGGAGGAAGTGACTTGTCTAGGGTCACACAGCTAGTAAGAGCCTGAGGCCAGGTTTGAACTGAGGAGAATGAGTCTTCCTGACTCCAGGCCTGGCGCTGTAGTCACTGCACCATCTAGTTGACCTGTGGCTAAGCTAATCATACTCCAAATATGAGTTACTTGTCCAGTGATGAGACACAGTATTTGAGGAACTGAGTCACATATATCTCAGCATGCTTGTTATTAGTGAAACTGGAAGAATTGCATAAGAGTTGGTAGCAGGGAGAAAATAATCCGAAAAGGGTATGACCAAATTAATGGTGGGCTGGGCTGGTAGGAGGGGCCTGGTCAAGACCAGCCTTCTCCATGTCAAGAGATACCTCAAGGTTTACTGGAAGCACTGGACAAAACAGACATAAGATGAGAAATCATGGTGGGGTGTGCTCTGCATCATCGTGGGAAGGAGCGGTAGATGAGATCGCAGACCCAGCGAAGTCTGAGCAAAGCCCCCAAAAACAGAGATGGGGGGGAAGGACAAACTGCCCCACCTGGCATTGCTGAATGGTTCCATGAAGATGCAGTCAGGAATCATATTCCAGGGTGCAGTTAGCTGCATAGGACCATGTTGCACATCCTCCCACCAGGTACACCAGCCTAGGGCTCAGATTCTGGGCTCCCTGGGCAGTTCACGGACTTCTCTGAAGGAAAGTCTAAGCCCTCCTAACATTCTAGTCTGAGTGCACTGGGAAGGCCTTTGGCTTCAGGGAACTCGGAGATTGTAAGCTTTTGCCTACA